AATTAATTCAACAACCATCAGAGGACAGCTGGTGGATTAGTGAAACTGTATGAAGGTGTTGAAGGTATAAACCCCTTGGTTTTCTTTTCTATAGCTACTTTTTTTCTTTGTGAGGCAATTTGACAACACACGAATTGAGGCCTTGCTTTGAATCGCTGTCTGGAAAAGCCTTATCTTGAGCTGGAGACTAAGCTGTATAAACTAGGTGCCAGAAGTTCAACATTGCTGGAAAGAGTCCAAACTTGTGAAGCTGCTGTGCTGTGCCCCAGCCCGCTGAGTTTAGGTGAGCAATTCTCTTGGCATGTTCCCCCCCCCCCCCCTTTTTTTTTCCTTTCTCCCCAGCAATCTCAATTCCAAAGCTTTCCTTTCTTTCTGCGCTCTTAAAGCACATCCCTCAGAAATTAGAGCTCTGAAGTTTGGCTTGGTGGAATTGTAACACCAGGTGGCAGCGGGCAGCAAACCTGAACCAGCTGGCCTCCTGCTCCTCTTGCATTGATGCTGCGGTGTTGATGTCTGACAAACTCTCTCTGAAATTACTGCCTTAGAAACAGTCCAAGAATCAGGTTCGACATCTTTTTTGCTGAAGAATTAAAAGGGTTATTAAAATATAAACGACTGGCAGGCACAGCTTTTCTTTTTTCTTATTATTGCAGGGTATTGCAAAAGAGATGTTGCCTGTTGTCTGTTGCCTGATAATCCTCCTAATTGTGTCAGGGCTGTAAAAGAAGACTTGGCTGGTCTGGAGGCAGTTTTAGGCAGGCTGGTAGAGAAGGCAATGAGAAGTTACTGTTAAAATTGCGTAGGTAGAGCACTGAAGGAATTAACTGAAGTAGTTAAGTAGAACTTAAAAGTAGTGTGCTGAAGGCATTAAATACAGCAGTGTCTTCCCAGTGCCCTCCCCTCGATCCCAAGCAAGAAAAGACGATGCAATTGATTTCTACTGATTACAGTTACCGCTACTGTCTGTGATGCCCTTCTGCTACTGCACGTTTCTGTGGTTCAGATCAAGTAGATCTCTCATGGAGAGAAGGTTTATTCTGCTACATTTTTATTTGGTGGTTTGCTGGTTTTTTTTCCTTTTCTTGGATGCTTTTCAAGCAATTCCATGAGCATTAACTTCCCCTGGACCCTTGCTGTGACTGCTTCTAGGGAACTGCGTGTGGTCTTAGTCATCCACAGCACGCTCCGGACAGGCCACCAAGAGGAGCGGGAACCAGGGAAGAGGTGCAGAGCTTCAGCTATCTGCGCCGTTGGCTCCAGATCCTGCGGATCTCATCTTCTCTTTCTTCCTGCAATGGCTTTGCACGTGCAGGACCGAGAACTGTTGCTCCTTGCCAGTCCTCCTGCGTGCAATGCGGTTACCTTCAACCGTTGGCACGCTGGAGGTTGAACCTACGGTCAGAAACCCTCACGAGCTTCTTCCCACAGGGGAGGAACCACATGCTCCCTGCTCATAAACCCCAAAATCTTTGCTGCCATTAATAGCCCGTTGTGGGAAATTCATGTTGTGTTCATCTAGTGAAACCATGCCTGAATTGCTGTTGGAGGCAGCAGCGTGGGATGGTTTTGACCTTGCTTCACCCGCAAACCTGGCGAGGGTTGTGTCCTCTGTTGGACAGAGGCTGCGATCTCAGACGCGCGGCCAGATGGCCCCGACGGCCTCCACCGCGGCATATGAGTCACAGAGCCTGGGCAGAAACTGGGAAAAAATGATGCGCACCCCTTGAAGCTCCATTTCCTTAGCAGGGATGGGGTGGTAGCTGTGTGTGGAAGATGTGAAAACTGGAAGTTGTGCCAACGGGGACTGCAGTGGGTTGACCCGCAGGAGGCACGCGCCAGCTAACACAGGTACCATGCGCATCCAGGCACCTGAAACCTTTGTTCTAGTTGATTTTTTTATCTAAACGTTTCCAGGTTTATTTTACAGGCTCAGAAATTATTATTCTAACAGTCCAATTGTTATTAGAAATAATTTGTACCCGTACTTGGGGCATACATTAAAAGATGGCACCCCTGAGGCGCTCCTAAAAACTCAGCAGAGCTTTGCAGGGGAGTTTCGGTTCTCCGTTGCCACGTGCCGTGGCCCGTCACACTTTTACCTCGTAAAATAAATTCAGAGTTTGAGTTGGGAAACCCCGCCGAGTGAGAACTGGGGTGAGGAGCCTCCCACGGGCAGGCTGACGAGCGT